AAAAAAAAAAAGAAATGAAAAGAAAAAGAAGAGCAAGTCAAGCCCAAAGCTCATATGAGGAAATTATAAAAATCAGAGCAGAAATGCAATGGAGATTAAGAAAACAATACAAAGAAAGTATCAATGAATCAAAGAGTTGGTCCTTTGAAAGATTAAATAAAATTGACAAACCCTGGGCCGGGGATTTAGCTCAGTGGTTCTGCTGCCTGCCTTGCAAGCTCAAGGACCCGAGTTCGATCCCCGGTACCAAAACAAACAAACAAACAAAAAAATTGACAAACCTTAACCAGCCTTATCAAAAAAGGAAAGACTCAAATCCATGCAATTAGGAAGGAAAAGAGTGAAATGACAATGGGATCCTGCAGAAATCCAGAAGATCATCAAAACCTACTTCAAGAATCGGTATTCTAATAAGGTGGAAAATAAGAAATGGACAGATTCCTAGATATATATGAATTACCAAAACTGAATCAAGAAGATATAAAAATTCTAAATAAACCAATTATCAGTCAATGAAATTGAAGATATAATTTAAAAAACTACCAACAAAGAAAAGTCCAGGCCCTGATGGATTCATTGCTGAATTCTATAAGAAATTTAGAGAAGATCTAATGCTGCTATTTCTCAAACTCTTTAATGAAATTGAAAGGGAAGCAATACTCCCAAATTCATTCCTGGAGACAACCATTACCCTGATTCCAAAATCAGAGAAGGATCCAACCAAAAAAGAGAACTACAGACCAGTCTCCCTAATGAACACAGATGCAAAAAATCCTCAATAAGATACTGGCCAAATGTAACAAATCATCAAGAAGGTTATACACTATGACCAAGTAGGATTCAAACCCAGGAATGCAGTGCTGGTTCAGCATACACAAGTCAATAATTGCAATATATTATATTAACAGAGCCAAGGACAAAAAAACCTATGATCCTCTCAATAGATGCAGAAAAAGCATTTGACAATGTCCAACACCCATTCATAAAAACCCTACAGAAAATTGGAATAGATGGTCTTTATTGCAATCTGATAAAAGCCATCTATGACAAACCAATAGCCAACATCATAGCAAACAGACAAACTCTGAAAGCTTTCACTCTAAAATCAGAAACAAGACAAGGATGTCCACTGTCACCACTCCTACTCAATACAGTTCTGGAAACATTAGCCAGAGCGATTAGACAAGAGAAAGAAAAGGAATAAGGACAGGAAAGGAAGAAATTAAATTATCATTATTTGTGGATGACATGATACTCTACACAGAAGACCCCAAAAACTACATCAAAAGACTTCGAGATTGGGCCGGGCATTTAGCTCAGTGGTGCTGTGCCTACCTCACAAGCACAAGGTCCTGAGTTTGATCCCCGGTACCAGGAAAAAAAATTATGCTGGAAAAACTGGCTTTCCACATGCTGAAGACTGAAACTAGACCCGTATCTTTCACCCCGCACTAAACTCAAATTGAAGTGGATCAAAGATCTAAATGTTAAAACAGAAACACTAAATCTGCTGGAAGATAGAATAGGTAGAACTAGGGCTGGGGATTTAGCTCAGTGGCACTGTGCCTGCCTTGCAAACACAAGGTCCTGAGTTCGATCCTCAGTACCAAAAAAAAAAAAGGTAGAGCTCTTAAAGACATTAGTGTAGGCAAAGACTTTAGGAACAACACCTCAGCTGCAAAGGAACTGTCAGAAAGAGTCAACAACTGAGACTTCATCTTATTAAAAAGCTTTTGCACACCAAGAGAAACCACCAGCAGAGTGAAGAGACAATCCACAGTGTGGGCAAAAAATTTTACCAGCTATTCATCAAGGAGTAATATTTAGAACATAAAAGAACTCCAAAAAGTCAGACCCTCCCAAATTTAAAGACCCAATTCAAAAATGGGCATCTGAAATGAACAGACACTTCTCAGATGATGTAGAAACAGGAAAGAAGTATATGAAAAAACGTTCAACATCACTGATCATTGGAGAGATGCATATTAATGTAACTCTGAGACTCCATCTCACTCCAGAAAGAATGGCTGCTATCAAGAAATCAATCAGTGGGCTGGGGTTTTAGCTCAGTGGTTTCGCCACTTGCTCTGCAAGCACAAGGACCCAAGTTCAATCCCCAGTACCAAAAAAAAAAAGAAAGAAAGAAATCAACCAGTAACACATGCTGGAGGGACTATGGGGGAACAAAGGAACCCTTCTCCACTGTTGGTGGGAGTGTAGACTGGTGCAACCACTGTGGAAATCAGTGTGGAGATTCCTCAAAAAACTAAAGTAGAGGTTCCATTTGACTCAGCTATTCCCCTTCTTGGTAACTTCCAGAAAGAATTAAAAGCATCATACCACAGTGATATATGCACACCTGTGTTTATAGCAGCAGTTTATAATAGCTCAATCTTGGAAACAGCTCAAATGCCCATCAACCGACAAATGGATAAAGCAAATGTGTTTTTTATGCAATGGAGTACTATTCTGCCATAAAGAAGAATGAGCTTCAGACATTTATAGCTAAATGGTTGCACCTTGAGACCATACTATATATTTTTTTGGTACCAGGGATTGAACTCAGGACCTTGCACTTGCCAAGCAAGTGGTGTGCCGCTGAGCTAAATCCCCAGCCCTTGAGACCATACTCTTAAATGAAATAAATCGGATACACATTTATTTATTTAATTTTTTGGTAGCAGGGATCGAACTTGGGACCTTGCGCTTACAAGGCAAGCACCAGAACCACTGAGCTAAGTCCCTGGCCCTTGGACACACCTTTTTTTTTTTTGCTTAAATTCTTTTATTGGTACATTCTAGGTATACGATACGTTTACATTTATCATTGGGTGCTTGTACCTGTACATGATGCATCTTGGTTCTTATTTTTTCCCCATCAACTGTGTGCCTTTCCCTATTTACATAGACTTTGTTTCCATTTTTTTCTTTCTTTTCTCATAATTTTTCCTTTCCCTTCTTCCCTTTCCCCATCTCCTCCCAACACCCCTACCCCTTTGGACCTTTTCTTACTATTTCAAATTATCAAAAAGAAAAAAAGAGGGCCGGGAATTTAGCTCAGTGGTTCCGGCGCCTGCCTCGCAAGTGCAAGGTCCCCAGTTCGAGCCCTGGTACCAAAAAAGGAAAAAAAGAAAAACAAATAGCATTTTCTTCTGAGGTCTGATTACTACAGTGGACATTTAAGTGAAATAAAAGTATTTATTGGAATTGTTAAATATCTACGTATATAAATACATACACACAGAGTCATATATACATGGTTCTCATATACAACTCTGAAAATGAGCAGCAAAAACAAATCCACATAATGGGTCTATGGAGCAGCCAGAATGTGTTTTTTTGTCTTGTTTTCTGTTTAGTTTTTTTTTTGTTTTTTTTTTTGGTACCGAGGATCGAACTCCGGTCCTTGCGCTTGCACAGCAGGTGGCAAAACCACTGAGCTAAATCCCCAGCCCTCTGTTTAGTTTTTTGAGATAGGGTTTCACTATGTAGTCCAGCCTGGCCTTGAACTCATTATGTAGTCCAGGATGGCCTCCAACTTGCAGTGATCCTTGTACCTCAGCCTAAGGTATGCATCACCATGCCTGGCCAGCATATGTTTTTAAACCCTGACAAAATCCTATATTACTGATCATTCCTCCACTTAAAAAAGTGGAAAGAGGGGCTGGGAATTCAGCTCAGTGGTTCCACTGCCTGCCCCGAAAGCGCAAGGACCAGAGTTCAATCCCTGGTACCAAAAAAAAAAATAATAATAATATCAATCACTGGGCCGGGGATTTAGCTCAGTGGTTCCAGCGCCTGCCTCGAAAGCACAAGGTCCTGAGCTCGATCCCTGGTACCAAAAAAAAAAAAGTGAAAAGAGGTTGAGCATGGTAGAGCATGCCTATAAACCCAGCACTCTGGGAGGCTGAGGCAAGAGATTTACAAATCTGAATCCAGCCTGAGCAACTTAGCAAGACCTTGTTTCAAAGAAAGGGGCGGGGGCAGGAATGCAGCTCAGTAGAAAGGCCCTGGATTTAGTTCCGATACTTGAAAAGGAAAGGACTGGCTAAAGGTCCCAGTGGTGGCAAACCCATGGCACATCTCATCCAGCTGTTATCACTGAAAACTCTGAAAGGTTAGCCATCACTGGTCTAGAGTAGGGAACAGACCCTGAAGTACTCAGAAAGTCTGGTCAGGGATCTGGGGCTCCCGACGGCATGTGGGAAGCAGCCTCACAGCAGACCTAGAGTCCAGAGGACCAGCAGCACAGCTCAGAGCCTTCCTAAGAGTAAGTGAGAATATAGTGAGGGATCAGAGCCACTGGGACGAGGGAAGAGGCCAGGGAAGGAGTTATAGGCTAATACAGAGAAAGATGTGGCGGCTCACATCTGTGATCTCAACACTCTGGGAGGCTGAGACAGGAAGACCTCAAGTTGGAGCCCAGCCTGAGCGACTCAGCAACTTAGTAAGAACTTGTCTCAACCAACAAACAAATAAGGCTGGGGATGGACTGTAGCTCAGTGTGAAGGCCCTGTATTCAATCTCCAGCACCACAAAAGAAAAGAACAAAACAAAACAGTGAAAGACTATTTCCATTTCCAAAAAATACAAAGAAAAAGGCCATGTCCAGAAATACTAAAGCAGGGTTTTTAAAATCCTAGCTGTGAGGTCCAGGCTTGGTTTTTCATGTGTGAAATGGGCTTAGTATTACCTGTTATGCCTAATTCACAGAGCCCCCTAAGATGAGCTATTTCCTACACAGGGAAAGAGGATGCTAACCTGAAAATACTGCCTACAGCGCCAGGACCTGTGCTGAGAACTCCTAGCACTGACTCCTCCTGATCCTCACAAGCTGGTTACAGATGAGAAAAGTGAGGTCCAGATTAGTTACAGGATCATTTGTAGCACCCCAAGGCCATTCCACTCTAGGAGCACAAGAGAGATCTAAACCATGATCTGGCTCCAGTGGCCAGGCTTTCTCCAAGCTGATCCTCTGGTCTCTCCTCAGTAGTGCGTGCCACTGGATTCTGTGGCCTGTGATCACCTCAGTAGACACTCTGGGTCCTGCCGTTACTCTGTGGGTTAGAAAAACAGGAACCCGGGATGAACAATGGTATGCCAGGGCCCAGGTCAGGTTTACTGACTCCTACCTAGGGACAGCCCCTCTGCCTCACTTGCTCTTCTGCTACCACGTTCTCATTCTTCTATTATCCTTTGTTCTTAGTTTAATATAATACCTTCGAATATCAGGGTGCTAATTAAAGTAATAAGCCCAGAAAAGAAAGCCCAAAAAAAGGAAAAGGCATCGTGTGTGTTTTTGTTTTTTGGGGTTTTTTTTTTTGAGACAAGGTTTCACTGGTCTCAAACTCACAGCAATCCTCCTGCTTCAGCCTCTCAAGTGGTGGGATTACAGGCATGAGCCTCACACTCAGCTTTTTTTTTTTTTTTTTTTAAGAGACAGGATTCTTGCTATGTTGCCCAGGCTGGGCTTGAACTCCTGGGCTCAGATGATCCTCCAGCCTCAGCCTCCTGAGTACCTGTATCTACAGGTGCATGTCAGGGTACCTGGCATCACTATGTATTACCTTTGTTCACCACATACACTGTGTTTCTTTTTCTTTTTCCACTTCCAGAACTGATTCAAATATAAGGCATTCCTTGGGCTGTGCTTTTTAAGTACACAGCTGAGGCCCACATATTACTTAGGAGCTAGGTATGGTGGCACACCCCTATAAACCAAGCACTTGGGAGGCTGACACAGGAAGATTCCAAGTTCAATCAAAGCCACTACAAAATGAGACCCTGTCTCAAAAAAGCCAAAATATGAACAAAATAATATTGATACTTAATACAATATATGCCCAGCTACTCGATTTCAAATGAGACTAACATTATACAGAAAGGACTAATGCCAAGGAAAATCTTGAGCCCTTTGGTCCATCCATATCAGCAAGTCTGATAAAAATACCAGGCCATGTGGTTGTCATGGCTTTCCTTATGACATCCTGCCCTGTGTTCTCCAAACTGTACTTTTATCTTGCATTTTCCTCTTTTACTCACCCTAAGCTCACTCTGCTGAGCCACCTTCTCCTCACTCTTCACTTTTATCTTTCCAAATAACTTTGTCACCATTTTTTGAAAAAACAAAACAGGCATGAGAAGAGACTTCCCTCCTACCCAGCCCAGCCCTCAAGTAATATCCAAGGCCTCCCTAACACATCTCTCCTGAGTGGCCCCATGTCTTTCGGAACAGAAGCAAAGAAGACTCAAGTTACATCTCCCAGAGAATGCCAGAACTAGACTGGGTCATCCAGCCAACACTCCTAAGGTACCTCCCATATTTATTACTTCCCGAGGAAAGGAAAGAATCTGGTCTACGCCCTAAGTGAAATGAATACAGGCCTTGGTATATGAGAGTAAAGTCAGAGAAGAGTGAAGTAGACAATCCGGGTCATCTGTGCCCAGAGCCTCTCTGCTGCAGCGCACAAGAGGGAAGACAGGCTCAGGCAGAGCAGAAACAGCTAAGGCAGGCTCCACCTTGGGTGACACAATGTCACCCAACCCTCAGTGCACAGCAGCCAGAGGGACCTTTATGCCTGATCCGCTCATTTGCCTTTCTCTTTATGTGTACACGCACAAGCAAGCCAACTTCCAAGGTTCAACTGTGCCCAGGGGAAGTCTGAAAGGGGAAAAAAATGCCACAAAAAACCTGAAAATGCCTGAAAAACCAGGCTGTACCTAGATGTGAATAAGATGAACAGTAAGAAGGGGCATCATCGAGCATGTGCATTTGGGAACGGGACAGTGAGCCATGGGTGAAGTCAGAGGAGGGTACAGCAGGAACCAAGCATGGGCGATGGCCAGATGTGGGAGAGAGAGGCTGAATGCTTCCACAGCAGAGGACTAGGGGCAGCTTGCAGGGAGCAGGTGATGGCCTGCACAGCAGGCAGTTTCTCTGGAGGGCACTGGTAGAAAGTGGAGAAGAGCTGGGCACTGTGGCACAGCCCTGTAATCCCAGCACTGGGGGAGGCTGAGGCAGGACAATGCCAAGTTGATCCCAGCCTGGGCAATTTAGCAAGACCCTGTCTCAAAATAAAAACTAGGGCCAGGGATTTAGCTCAGTGGTTCTGCCGCCTGCCTCGCAACCGCAGGGTCCTGAGTTCGATCCCAGGTACCAAATAAATAAATAAATAAATAATTAAAGGGCCGGGGATGTAGTTCAGTGGTGCAGCGACTGTCTGGCAAGCACAAGGCCATGAATTCAATTCCTGATACCAAAAAAAAGTGGAGAAACAAGAGGAAAGTGGAGAGGGGAGGAGAGGGAGAAAGAATGAGATTTATTTAGCTAGCTAACGGTACTATGGACTGGACAGGGGCCACTGAGCACTTCCCCCCCGGAGAGAATCTCACTAAGGTGCCCAGGCTGGCCTCAAACTTGTGATCCTCTTGCTTCAACCTTCCAAGTAGCTGTAATTACATTCGAAAAATGGAGTCTTAGAAATCAATTCAACCAGAGTGGAAGGAAGGGAGAGACGGAAAGCCACTTGACAGGCCAAGCGACTACCCACCAAAGGGCACACCTACCTTGGATGGGTCACGACCATATGATCACAAGAGGATGAGCTCTTAGAAGACAGGGATTTGTTCCCACTGTGTTCTCAGGGTGGGCACATAACTTTCAGTGGGAAAGGCACTCAATGACTTTTGGTGGGGGTACTGGGGATTGAACCTAGGACCTCACACTCTGCCACTGAGCCATATCAAAATTGTATTTTGAGACAGGTTCCCAAGGCTGGCCTTGAAACACTAGCCTCAGCCTCCTAAGTATCTGAGATTATGGGTCTGTGCCACCGTGCCTAGCTCAATAACTATGTGTTCAATGAATGAGTCGGGGTGGATGCATCAGCTCAAGTCCAAGTGAGCCTGATTTGGGCTCACGTTTGACTGCCTAAAGACAGGTGTTTAGGTCAGAAAAAAGGAAGAACTTAGAACACAAACGCCCAAATGGCCAAATCATTCACTGATAAAGAGCACAAGAGTCATGCTTTACATGACCAGTGAGTCAGCACTCTGTCCTCCAAAGCATAGCTAAGAAGGTGCAGGGAGGCTGGGCCTGTGGCTCAGTGGTACAGCGCTTGGCCAGCTCAAGGGCCTGGCCTCCATACCCTCCACCCCCCACCACAAAAGGTACAAACCCAGGAGCACTTTTCCACTAAAACATTATGTGGCCCCAGGTATGCCAACCTAAAGTTCAGCACTGTGATACAGAACAGGCTTAATCTTCTCCTGGCTCCTCCTTCACACCACTCCTGCAAACCTTTTAAAGCTTTCAATGATAATAAACAGCTGGGAGCACCATACGTGCCAGATTCACCACCACTGCTATAATGGAAGGCACATCCTTTGGGAGTTAAAAAAAATAAACAAAAAAATCAATGCTGTTAAAAAAAAATCCTAGAGCTGGGGATTTAGCTGAGTGGTTCTGGCACCTACCTCGTAAGCTCAAGGTCCCGAGTTTGATCCCTGGTACCAAAAAAAAGAAAAAGAAAAAAGAAAAAGAAAAAATCCTTGACAAGTTTAGATTTAATGGCATTTATCTGAGCAAAAGCAAAAACACAACACTGATCTGCGAATCAGGCAGTCTGACCAGAGCGGGTTGAGAGAACTCAAACTCAATCTAACACGTACAGAAAAAGAGTCAAGCATAGGAAACAATTTAATCGGCTAGTCGATCAATAAGTCAGCTGCCTACACCTTAGCTAGTTGTTTAGCTAACTGGCAATAAGGCCTCGTGCAAACAAAGCTGAGTTACAGTGATTAAACTGTATTGGTTTGGGAAGCCAGTGCAAATCTATGGCCTTTCACAAATTTTATTTAATAGTACCAACTACTGTTAAAGGTTGTGTCAAAAGCCTACCCCTCATGAAGACACTGTCTAGAAAACCCCTATTCATCCTTTAAGATCTACCTCTAGCAAGCCTTCCTGATGACCCCTCTTTAGGTTGGTACTTTTGTATAGTGCAAGTACTTCAAGTCTCATACTACAGTCATCTATGTAATTTTAAAATTTCCTCTACTAGACTAAGAATTTGGGGACGGGGAGGTCCCCCTGCCATACCGGGGATCGAACTCAGGGCCTTGACCTTTTGAGGCAGGCACGGCACTACTGAGCTAAATCCCCGGCCCAGGGGTCTCTTCTTCATCTGCCTTACCAGGGCTCAGCATATTATGCTTGACAGGCCAACATTATCAGAACCAATTTATTTTTACTCTAGTATCCTAAAATGTAACCCTCAACTCCAAGTCACTGGTAGAGGTTCCCACAGCTCAGAGCAAAGGCAGAGAAAGGGGGACAAGTGGCAAAAGTCAGAGGGGCTCCAGCATTAGGGAAGGAAGTTACCAGGCTGCATCGGATTCTGTGGCATCTCCTCCAGTGTTTAGAGAAATTGCTTCTAGAGCAACTTGTCTCAGAGGCCCAGGTATTTGCACTAACCTGGCTTGCTCCACAAGAGTGACCACAGCACCAAGCCAAGTTCAAACAAAAATACCTCCTAGGAGTTTCTGGGCTGAGGTTTTTATCTACTGGATTTCCATACATTTAGGGTCACAATAATCTAGTTCTAATCTAACTCCCCTCTCCACTGTCAAGTCACAGGAGAAACATTTTCTGACTGCCAACTATGAGGGTTCTCTGCTGGCTGTGAGGAGCATGAAGATGTCTCTCAGGGACTCCAATTGAGTAGGCGGGTTAAAACATAGCAACCCAGGCATGGCACCACATGCCTGTAATCCCAGCACTTGTGAAGCAGAGGCAGGAAGATCACTGTGAGTTCAAAGCCAGCCTGGATTACACAGATCCTGTCTCAAAGAAGAAGAAGAAAAAAGGATGGAAAGAGGAAAACTCAGAGGGAGATTAACCCAGCTAAAAAGATTAAGGAAGGCTTTATGAAAGAGAAGGCTTAAACTGGACCTTGAAAGAGGTGTCCCAACATACAGAGATTAGGCCGGGAATTTAGCTCAGTGGCTCCGCTGCCTGCCTCACAAGCACAAGGTCCCGAGTTCGATGCCCGGTACAAAAAAACAAAAAAATCCAATATACAGAGATTGAAGAAGGGCCCATCACCACCCTCTAGGGCAAAGATTCAAGCTCTTGACAGGAGGGATTCCACCACCAAAGATGCAGAGGATGAAACCCAGAGCATGTTAAGGAAACAGCAAATAGCTATGAGGTAACTGTATCAGAAATACACAGATCTAAATGCTGAAAGGACTGGGCTAGCTCAGAACCCTGAATGGGAAACCAAAGATACTGGCATTATTCTGTTAAACTAGAAAACAAGAATTCTGCTGCTGTGTTTTAGAAAAACTCATCTAATTGTATTTGTACAAAAGATGGGGAAGAGTTAAAACTGTGGAATTTTTCATCGGTCTAACTTGCTGGGTTTACAGAGAGAAAAAAGAGCCCTGGGCTGGGGCAGGGTCGGAGTGTAGCAGAGCAGAGGGCGCATGCTTAGCATGTTTGAGGCACTGGGTTCAATCCCCAGCACTGCAAACAAAGAAAGAAACAAATGGTGTCTTCAGTGAAGGCGGTGGTGATGTGAAGAGAACACAAGAGACAGCTTCTCGGGAAACTACCTTCAAGCCCACTCTAAGCACTCTAGTGAACTGGGTACCACTGTCTACTGCTTAAACCGGCAGCTGCTGTTAAACCCCAATGCCTCCCATCTTCAACAGCCTTCTGGTTGTTCCTTTTCACTTCTGCTCCTGCCCTCAAAGCTGCTTGGTCAGAGGGCGGCTGATGCACAATCACACACCTGCTCTCACCCTTCTCGGAGCCCCTCACCTCCGCCAACGCCAGACCTGTCTGTCTGCTGTGTCCAACACAATGACCAGCGAGGTCGTACCCAGCGCTGTAGCTACAGAAGTAGCAGCCCTCCTAAAAACGACAGGAGTTGTTTTTTTGATCCAAAGGGGCTCCCGAATAAAATCCTTGTGAGCTAACCACACAGAATTGCAGTCAACGTCAGAGAAACCCCCACAGCAGAGAACCGGCGTCCCTCTCAGCCACTGGGGTTCCCGTCTCAAACACACGTCCCAAGGCATCCTCCCGGCCTGTCCCCGTCGGGTCGTGGACTGACACCACCAAGGGAATGGTCCTGACGCGGAGAAGAGGAGGGAGAGAGCGGCCTCCTAAGAGTCAAGCGGAGGACGCGGGGAGTCCGGGTGGGAACTGCGGGGGGCCGGCCGGGGCCAGAAGTCGGGGGGGGGGGGGTCCCGACGAGGAGGCGAGCAGGGAGGGAGGGCGGTCTGCGCACCGCGGGTGGGGTGGGGGAGGCCAGGCCGAGGAAAACCGCCCTCACTGACCCCACGGCGGGGCCTGAGGAAGGTGGGCGTGGGGGGAGCGTCCGGCGCTGGCCGACGATGGAGGTACGCGGCGGACGGGGGAAGGCGGGAGGTGGCTCACCTTCTTCACGGCTGGCTGGAAGTGGAAGTCACCGGCCTCCTTCAGGTCCAGCCAGATCATAGGCATGCGGGGCACGGCCTCCATGACGACCAGCGCCCAGGGGTCTCCCAGCCGCCCTCCTGGCCGCTGCTGCCGCTGCCTCAGCTGCTCACAGCCCCGCCTCTCCACGCCGGAAGTCGCTGGTCACGAGAGGCTGAAGAATGCCCCGCGGCCTGCTGGGGGGTGCAGTCCGCACCCGTGCAGCCTTCTGCGCATGCTCAGTCCGCACTGCGCTTGCTCAGTCCACTTGGTGCGGGAGGAACCGGGAAGGGCAATTTCCCTCCCAGGAGAAGGGGTTTCTGGGAATAGTGGGGTTTTAGTAAGCGAGGGGCCATCTGATAAACCGGAGTCATCTTTGCTTGCCGCTCCTACCTCCCAGGACCGGCGCTAGGGAACTCACCCTTGAACTTGTAGTTCCAGCTATTGTGAAGGGCTGTGGAGGGCTGGAACAGATGCTATGGTAGAGATAATGTGGCGGGCTCCCCGGAGAAGTGGAGTGGAAGGGTGGGTAAACTTAAGGGGCCCAGGGAAAACCAAACATAGTAAGGGCCCTGAAATGGAGATCCGTTGTCTCCGGAGAGAGGACCTGTGCAACAGGAATTTTAAATCACGCACATCTATTATCTAGTTTTAGAAACAATAGAGAATGGTTTGGAGATGGTGTAAAAGTGGAAGACACCAGGAGGGAGACGCGCCTTCTGTGGTCTTCCAGGAGACAAATATTCTGCCCAATTTGTGAAACATTTCACAAATATTTTGGAGACAAAAGTTACCAGAGCTTGGGGTGGATGTATCTAAGGGAATGAGGATGTCAAAGATGAATCCAAGGGGCCGGGGACTTAGCTCAGTGGTTTCGCTGGCTGCTGTGCAAGTGCAAGGACCCGAGTTCGAGCCCTGGTACAAAAAAAAAAAAAAAAAAGATGAATCTAAGTTTCTGGCCCATGTAGCTGGGCTGATACTGATATGGGAAAGCAGGAAGGAATGAGTTTAGAGTGAAGAGCAAGGATTCAGGTCTCTCTTAAACTGGAGATGGATGCATTGCAGGGATCTGGGCTTATAAGGCAGGCTTCATGCACACACACTCCAGGTCCCCTTTATAATGAGCAAAAACGCCTTTTAATACTCAGCCAAAGACCTACCTTCATGGCAACTGAAAGTATAGCAAAATAAAGTATACCAGGGCCAGGGATTTAGCTCAGTGGTTCCACCGCCTGCCTTGCAAGTGGAAGGACCCGAGTTCAATCCCCAGTAGCAAAAAAAAAAAAAAAAAGAAAAGAAAAGAAAGAAAGTATACCAAAGTTCATAGCAGCAGTATTCGAATAGCCAAAAAATAGAAGAAACCCAGGTATTCAGCAATGGATAAATGGATAAACCACATGCAGTGTGTAGATGCTTTGGATATTATTCTGGTGTAAAAGGAAGGAAATTGATTTATACGCAACATGAATGAATCTTGACAATATTGTACTAAGTGAAATAAGCCAGTCACAAAAGGTCAAATATTGTGATTCTGTTTACATGAGGTACCAAGTGTAATTAAACTCACCAAGCCAGAAAGCAGAATAGTAGTTGCCAGGTGCTGGGGAAAGGGGAGAATGATGAATTATTGTTTAATGGATACAGGGTTTTATTATGGGATGATGAAAAAGTTCTGGTGCTGGGAGTGGTAGTACATGCCTGTAACCCCAACACACAGGAAGCTGAGTCAGGAGGATTGCCAGGAGTTCTAGGCCAGCCTGGACTACATAGTGAGACCCTGTCTCAAACTACCCTCCCCAAAGAAAAGAGAATTGTAAATTTTATTAAGTATGTTTTGCCACAACAAAAATAAATAAAATGCAAGATATCAGATAACATTTCTTAAGGAAAAAGAAATTTTTTTTTGGTACCGGGCATCAAACTTTCATTCTTGTGCTTGTGGGGCAGGTGGCAGAACCACTGAGCTAACTCCCTGGCCAGGAAAAAGAAAATTTTACAGTATTTTAAAAGAGCTTCTGAGCTGGACATGGTGGCACACATCTGGGATCTCAGCACTCAGGAAGCTGAGGCAAGAGGATTGCTGGGAGTTCAAGCCCAGCCTGGGCTACATAGTGAGTTCAAGGCCCGCCTGAACTGCATAGTGAAACCCTGTCTCAAAACAAAACAAAAAGCCAGGGATTTAGCTCAGTGGTCCATGCCTGCCTCGAAAATCCAAGGTTCTGAGTTCAATCCCCAGTAGCGGGGCGGGGGCGGGGGGGGGGCTTCTTTCTGAAAGACTATCTGGAGGTCACTCGGTCAGAGGAGGAGGAATAAAGGACAAGGCCCATGCTCCGCAAAATGCACCAACACAATTTAGAGTAAATGGAGCAGGGGAAAGCAGCCCGCCTTGGGTCTCTGATGGGGAGGCAGCACTTGCCTATAGGGGAGCCACAAGACCTCAGCTCAGGTTGAGTGGTGCAGACTGCAACATAGCACTGGTGAGTGAAGATAGAGGCCCCAAATGTGAGGCTGGCAAGGCAGCAGGATTAAGCAGTTGCAGGTCAGGACGGGCTGGAACAGGAAGAGAGGTAGGGGATGAGTAGAAACCTACAAGTGCACCTGGAAAGTCAGGAAGACCTGTGGGCAATCCAGGTTGGTGGAACTTTTGCTGGTGCAAAAGGGAGGTTTGGCTGAGCACCGTGGTGCATGTCAGTAATTCCAGCTCTCTGGGAGGCTGAGGCAGGAGGATCACAAGTTCAAGCCCAACCTGGACAACTGAGCAAGACCCTGTCTCAAAAAAGAACTGGGACAGAGCTGAGTATGGTGATGCATGCCTGCAATCCCAGTACTCAGGAGGAGGCTGAGACAGGAGGATTGCCATGAGTTCAAGTCCAGCCTGAACTACATATTGAGACATTGTCTCAAAACAAACAAACAGACAACAGAAAAACTGGGACAAAGAGGTGAATTGGAGAGAAGGGAGGGGAAGAGGATATAAAAAGAACTAAGGGTGTAATATACATGTATCACTTCCTCATGATGAATGTAATCATTGTGTACTACAAACATGGACTAATAAAAAGACTGGGAGGTAGCTCAGTGCAAAGGCCCTGGGTTCAGTCCTTAGTACAGGGGCTGGGGAGGAGCTTCGGCTGGGCTCCAGGATTCAGAGCAGCCAGACAGATGGGTCCCCCCTCGTGCACTCCGTAGAGTGATCCCTTTGTCCCCACTGTCCTTCCTCCCCTGACCTTCGGTCTCTTCTAGAATCAGAGCACATGGCTCTGTAGCGTGCTTCTGGGGTTGAACTACAAGAGGCAGAGCCTGTGAGTTCCAGGGTGTATCATTTACTCAAGTTGCCTTGACAAAGTACCATGTGATGGGTGATTGGTGCAAATGGCCTTGAAGACCAAGAGGACCTTCCTAGGCTGGAATGCCAAGGTCACATAGTGGGCATGGGCCAGTGAAGGGTGTGCCCCTTCCTCAAGGGGAGCTGGGAAGTTAGAGGAACCAGAGGCCTCAATGGTGCTGGGGAAGAGTTGGCCGCACCTCAAGGGGGAGGAAATGCCCCATTCAGCCGGGTCAGCTCCCCCTTTCCTCCTGATCACACAGCAGAGCTCCAGGAACCCCCAGAGACACACAGACACCCTCCCCCTCATTACCAGTGTGGAAACTGAGGCCAGGGTGGTGGGGGAGCAGTTCAACGATGGAACAAATATTTACTCAACACCAGTAGCATTCCACAAACTGTTCCCGTAGCTGTTGAACAAAGCAAGTAAAGGCCTCTGCCCTCATGAAGTCACAGGCTGGTGGAAGGGGAGAGCCATCGGCCTGAAAAGGAACAGATAGTATGTTGGGTGGCAGCAACTGCTGTGGCAAGAACTGAAGATGAAGCGGGGGAGGGGAATGGCATAAACAACAGAGATCTATGCATTTCCAATTTCATACTGGGCGGTCAAGGAAGGCTTTGCTGAGAAGCTACTCTGGAGCAAGCCAGGGAGGAGTTTAGGGATGACTGCTGGGGAACGCAACATCACACCCCCAGAGCTGAACAGAGCCAGGAAACAAACCCAAGGCGTCCATGGCAGCCATGTGACAGACTCCAGGAGTAGGAACATAGGGCACTGAGGAGGAGCAGGGGGACCACCGGTCAATGGTACAGGCTGACCACACATCCCTGTGAAAAAATAAGTGGCAGTCCGTTTTGGGTTCAGCTGTTTCTGCCCATCGTAAGGGCTGGTGATGAAACTCAGTTGGTAGAGAACTTGTCTAGCACTCATGAGGCCTTGGGTTCTATTCCCAACACCCCCCTAAAACAGAGATCTCACCCCCAGTACCTGCACATGGGACTTTACAGAATCTTTCCAGCTATGACTGAATTAACATGGGGACATTCTGGATTAACAGGGGTGCTAATCCAATGACTGGAGTCCTTAAAAGAAGAAATTCCGCCTTGGGACTGTGACACCAACTCATACCCAAGCTTCCAGCCTGCCGGTCATCCCTAAACCCTTTGCAAATTACTTATTTTTATTTTTTTCCCCATTAACTTTATTGGTACATTTTAGGTATACAATACAGTTACATTCATCATCGGGATCTTGTACCTTTACATGAGCATCTTGCTTCTTATTTTGTTTCCCCTTCCCCTGCCCTCCCTTCACCCCCTCCACCCTTCCCTATTTGCAAAGACTGTTTCCATTTTTTTCCTTTTCTCATATTTTTTCTTTTCCCTTCTTTCCTTTCTCCTACCCTTCCCAATTCCCCTGCTCCTTTAG